GCTGAGAGCACCTGATGTTATCATTTAAAAAAAGATCTGGCAAAGCCACAGTGTTAATGATATGAAAAGTAAATAAGTATGAAGATAATACAAAGATGCTGAGTTGGGCAGGAAATAATTTCTAATATGAAGCAAGTTTCTCTTTTATTAATATTCACTCCACCAAAATGGATGCATTTAAATGCTGTTATGTGCCCTTACTCATTGCTGTTTACAGAATATTAGTTTAAATGCAAAGTTCATTTAATTCTGGCTAGGTCAGTAATTGTGGTAATGAACAAGGTCAACCATTTTCTTTAAGAGGAATAAATGCTAATTTACAGAATAAAATTACTTTCTTTTTGTGATTTCATGCAGGGATAAAAAAAAGTCATGACCCTGTGCAGGCTCAAGTGAAAAGTTAGATTCCCTGAAAGCTTAATTTAAAGTCATGACAATTCCTTGTGCTCTACAAAATCTGTCACTGCTACGAAACAAGACCCTATTTAATACCCACTCACTTCAATTCTCAGCAATAAAAGTTTCAGATGAAAAAATTAATTATTTGATTAACTGGTAAAATGTGGTGGTATAAATAATACCAGATAATCAGATAATTTCCTTTTCCCACTGATAAATTCTTGATAAAGTTACTTTAGTACCAATTGTCTACAAATAGTTTTGATTAGGGCCTCCATATTTTCAGTCAGTGGTTCCACTTTGAATTGCCGTACAATGAATAAATATGATTTAAAACTTGTAGTGAGAATGTCACACATATAAACAATTGTTTAATTCACAAACTAGATGATGAAGCTGGCTAGATGTGTCATAGTTCAGCTTTTTAAAGTGGTCAACTTGCTTGTCTTGCCTTTACAAACAGAGAAATGGCTGCTTGATTTATTTTTTTAAATAAATATCTTCAGCATATTTTGTAATATAACCTAAAGTTAAAGAATTCTTTAAATCTGCTAGCTTATAATATCATGCAGTCTAATTACATCCATTCTCAAAGGGTTTGATTCAAAGCTTTGAAACTAATACCAATCAGTTTCTTCATTATTTCTTAATAAATCACAGTGCGATCAGTGGGTTCTGTGAGACACTTCTGTGTCTTCTGCATCCACCGTAGAGAATGCACGGGAAGCCAGGTCGATGTCTAATTTGGGGGCATGGCATGACAAGTTAATGCAGGCAAGAAAACCACAGAAACTCAACTGGTGAATGAAAAAGTTGGGAGTGGAATTAGGAGTGTAGTTTTGTAACAGAGCTTCCATTTCGGGGCCGTGGTGCCAGTGTGCTCTCTGACTAACTTTAACCCTGGCAGAGAGTCTGACAGCTCTGCCTGGCCATGGGGAATGAGAGAAAGGCCTCCCAAAACTGTTCTTCAGATCTCTCACTGAGGAAGTGGTATGTTTATTTCTACAGGAGTATGCGATATTTAAAGTTGTAATAAAGTTCTTTCAGTTTTACTTTTTCACTCTTTCAGTGTAAAAGAGAAGAAAAACATTCCAATTAGGACTTTGTCCAGTAAAGCAGGAGATCTCTGTTTTTAGCATCTGTTTTTAGATCTTTGATTTTCTGGTTTTAGCAGTGACACATATTTTGAAGGTACACAAGCAAACCAGCAAATTATTCATTGCCTGTGCCAATTTGTCAGCTATGAAATAAGTTCAGTAGTGCAGGCAGAGTAGCAAAATGCCACATGATAGGTGTCTATTCTATGGTGATGGTGAAAAGAAATAGGAAACAAAATGAACTGTGATATGCAAGTAAAGACTGAAAGAATGCCACTGGGGACACTACAATGGAAAAGGACAATCAATTGGTGAAGAGAATACAAAGGAAGAGAAATATGAAGTAAAAAGCAACAAGAAGCAGGTGGGAAACAGCCTGGTACTTTGATACAGATACTAATTTACAGTAAAGGTAAGTATGAAGTCTTATTAAATACACAACTATAATGCAAAAGAATACTCTTACAAAACTTGTTTTGTCCAGATGCCTGTACTCCCAAGTCCCCTAAAATGTAGTTAAGTTATATCTCTGTTTAAAGGCCAGAAGGGCTCTCCTAGTCTGACTTCTCTTCCATATACAGAGAGCATCTCATCCAGCATTCACTGTGTGAAGCACAGTAACTGTGCAATAGGAAATACCTGCCAGTTTTTAAGAATCTACATTTCTCCCATATTCTCTGCACCTTCTTGGAATATCCAAAGCTTTAATTTATTGAAGGCACTGAGTACAGTTTCTTCTTTCATGTGGGTAGAGAGCAGTCAATGTGTCCTTAGAAGAGTTGCCAAGAACTAAACTGACTTTGAGACTGAGCTGCTCCAGTTTTCAGTTTAGGCCCAAAACCTTTGTAGCTGTTATTTTCTTCATTTAACACGAGCATTCAGTGATAACCTGTGAATCCAATTACAACGTCTTACTCAGAGGTTTTCTGTTTTCTTAATTTCTTTACAAACAACAAAAATGTTCCCTTAAAAATGTAAAACACCTTTTAATTTATGAATTCATTTGAAGAGATGCCATCATTCCACTCACTACCCTTGTGTTAAATTAGGACTTTTCAATTCATAGACTTCATTAATGAGCCTCAAGGACTTTGTTCCTTCCCTGCACATAATAGGACTTCCTACCTTCCTTTCTATCCTAAACAGAAAAGTGAAATCATTGCCAGTGTTTAGGCTCTAGGCAGTTTTTGGCCTCAAGTTTTATTCTCACAGTTTTTTCTCCCCCCAGTGCAGAGGCAGTGATTATGCCTGTGGTGATGTGACGTGCTGGTGCCTGTGTGTGCAGGAACCTCTCCTTGCCAGGGAGGCTCTGCCTGGGCACCAAGCGCAGGAGTGTTGACTGCACTGTGAGCTGAGACCAAGCCCAGTACCACAGGGCGGTGTTCCTTCTCCTGCACAACCGCCTGGAACACAGGCATTCCCATCATCCATGGGTTTTGACCATCATTTAACCCCCGGGCTTCTTAAAGTTGGAAGAAGGGAATTCATGAGCGGGTGACAGTATTATGTCCTCAGTTTAATTTTGGACATAGAACCATGTTTTGAGGTTTGAAAAGGAGACTTCTTCCCTCAAGTTTGCTTCCTGTTGATTTTACTCCTTTTGCTACTTCAGCTGCTGAAGCCAGGGTAGCTAACTTCCTACAGTCTTCTTGGGATTATGATATTGCCCCCCAAAAACTAATTTATATTAGTAAAAATTATAGAAGCCAATGGATTGCTTATCACCAGATGTTCAACTTTTGACGTGTTTGCATTTACACCAGTCTCTGATATTCTGATATAGCTCATTTGGAGTTAAGAGTAATTTATTTATTGAATTCTACTCCAGTTTGGTGGATCATAATAAAGGGAAAAATACTGATCTGCATTAAGAAATACAAGTATATGACTCTCTGCTTATTTTCCAGTGAAGACAATGAAGAACACTCAGGACTGAAAGAATCAAATAGGAGGCTACAAATCCCAAGAACTTATCTAGATTTTTATTTATAAAATCTTAAAAGCTAAGAGGGAATCCAAATGCTCTGCTGACTTCCAGGGGCATGCATTAAGTGTTTAGTAGATATTCCATTCAGAGCACTTTCTTGTGTAAAAAGGATTCTTTTGTTTGTGAGATTTTTCAGCTCTTAGATGGAAAATATATGCCCTTTATAATATGCCCTTCTCTAGTGCCTGAAATTGTTGTTGGAACTTGCATTCATTCTCATATTCAAAATGATGTAATGAGAAAACAGCTAATATGCTTAGTTTTTAAAGGAACTAACATGGAAAGTCTTGGAACACAAATTTTGGTAATTAACATGTTTGCTGACAGAAGCTATTTTTGTGTTGATGGCAAGCTGCTCCCGTACTGTATTTTATATGCAGATGAAACTGCATGTAGGTACCTTCAGAGCTGAAACATGCCTGATATGGAGCACTTTCCTATCTTTTGGTAAAGTGCCTGAAGGGCAGGATTGAAGAGAAATTGCTTGGGTATGGATGCCGACCTTCAAGGGTAAATCTCACCTACAAGGATAATTTATACCCTCTTTTAGGAGACTGTGTTGTGAGTTGTTTCTGTTGCAGGGTAATGTGATGGAGCACGATGCTGCTGCTGAAGCTGAGATATCCCTTAGGTGTCTATTGAATCCATTAGGCTCTGAAAATTGCAGCTCACTGATTATTGACTTACTCTGCAACAGTTTAGTGTGTGTGTGGAGCTTTTGCTATTTAAAAGCTCTGGTGATTCCACATTAGAAAGTAATTTTCCATATGGCTTACCAGGAATTTAGGCACATAAACAGATATTCAGTAGTGATAATTAATGTAGTTTATTGAACAGGTTTCAGATTAGGGACATAATTTTCAGAGCTTTGTCAGTTTCTGTCTGAACATAGTGTTTATGTGCCTGGGAATTTGACTTTTCCTCTTGTATTTTATTTTCCTTTGTTCTCCATTTGGATGATAAAAGGTAAATGCAAAGGTAGGATTGTGCTGATGCAGTGGAAACATACTTCATTGCAGTTTATAGACAGAACCTCTGCAAGAAATTATGTTTATGTGATCATCTCATCTTGCCGCAGATGTTTTAGATTAAGCTTCTTCCTACACAGCCTGCACAAAGTACATGAGCAGATACTGTAATATGTTGCCTAGAAAATTGGTATGGAACAGAAGCTGCTGTGAAATTACAATGAGCAGTTTAAGTGCAGACGTGGCGATATCCAGTTGTTCGCACTTAAATGTTTATGAGCAGAGGAGGAGCTGGAAACAACAAGGACCTGCTCCATAACCAGGTCTGCTGGGTGTCCTAAGTGGATATAAATATAAATAGCAACATATGGGGTAGGGATTCATTTGTACTCTAAACAGTTCTGCAACATCTTTCTTTTGATAGAAGGAAAACAACAAGCACAGCAAGCTGTGCAAATCTGTCACAGGCAAGGAAAACGCAGCCCCAGCCTCATCTGTTCTGAGCCTCCTCCAAAAGGAGAGGGGGAGGGCCTGCTTGGGAATTGCAGCCGTGCACATCCTGTCCAACATCCTCAGGGAAGCACAGGCCAGCAGGACTGCAGCATCAGGCAGCTCTGAGTCCCTCGGTGCCCTGAGTGCCTCCTGAGCTGAGCAGGAGCAGTGGCACTGTCCCTGATGTGCCCTCTGGGGAACAGCCTGTCACGTCACATCTGGGGGTTTTGTCCTGCGTTTGGCCTTCACGAATTATTTGGGTTTGGAGACTGGTGTTTTTCTCCCCTATAGATTTCCTTTCTCTTTTTCTCCCCGGCTTTTCTTTAGTTTTGATGTTTGTTTTCTTCTGTTTTTCATGCTTTTAGGTAAAATTTGGCACTTCAAGTTCATCTTTTTTAGTAATTGGGGATGTTTCACTGGTTAATGAAGGTCATGGCTAAGGTTCCAGGATTAGCTATTGTTAAAAGCTGCTGTGCCAAGTTCCTCATAAATAATTCCCAGCAGAATTCTCTTCTAGTGTTTGTCATGCTAACATAATTTCAATTCAGAATTAAAGACAAATGCTATTAGGACTCAATGAAGCAAATTCAGGAAAGGATCATTTAACATAACACTGATAAAACTGGCAGTAGATTACAGGAAATTTCTTGTCTATGCAAGTGTTGTAAGTTTCTGCATTTATGACATTTTCTTTTAAATCTGAATGTTTGATACATTCATTTTATGGGTAAACAGATTTTTTTTTTTTTTTTAACTTAGGGTAAGGCTCCTCAAAAGAGAAATGCTCTTTTACGTATAATTTTTACAGCCAGATTATGAACTAACAGTATTTTTATATGTAATTCTTAACAACAGAGAGAGAATTTTGAAGATATTTGAACACTTAAGAGAAAATATACCATAGTAACTTCATAATACTTTGTTAATTTGTAATCCTTGTTGAGGGCTCAAGCTAATAATTGTGTCTTCACCGAAGATTCATAATGTAGGCAGAGAGTCTGGTAACACAATCTGCATTCCAGTGACTAATATCATCCAAACTCTTCAGTGACTAGTCTCATCCAAAAAAGGTCTGTTCTTTGAAGTCAGCAGATACTGGGTCAGACTTTAAAGGGAATTCATGCATAATTATATTATATAAAAAGGTAAGGTTCCTTTTAATTTTTATATGAATACCTCAATGACCAACACCATGGATCCCTTTTATTTTTTTTGGGTGGGGTGGGGCAGGGGGAGGGAATAAAAGATAAAAGTATACCTAGTGGGGGAAAAGGATTTCCACCATATGAAACATTTCAAGGTTTCTACATCCCTTTTAAATATGAACCAGTGTGAAAAAAAATTTGGATTTTCAGTATCTGAAATGCAATTTGGAAAATGCTCTCAAGCTTGAAATAGCTCATTTAAGAAACTTTAATGCCTTTTTTTGACTCTGCTTTAATATGAAGTATATTTCAATTTTTTTATTTTACTCTATTAAATCCTAGGAATTGGTCTATATCAAAAGAGATATAAGCACACATTTGAAGAAGTGCTTAATAGTTCTTCATATGACAGCTCTGGCTTTCTCAGTAGCAGCTTGTGCTAAACATTCTGGTTAAGCTGACACAGAGAAACATAACGGCACCTGTCATAGGAGCAAGAAGTTCTTCTGGTGCTCCTGAAATATCCCTTCCTGGCTACAATTTTTAGAGGAGCCGTACAACAACTGCCACTGCTTCTTCACCTCATCAGACAGGACTCCTCATCTCCCATGAAGCAGCCTGTAAAAGCCTGTGAGTATTATGGGCCAGGATGCAGATGCTGCTCTTTCATGGAAAGATTTATGCTGGCAGAACTCACTTGGATACCTTTGAAGAAAAGCAGCTGGAAAAACAAGGCGTCTAGGTGAATTCTTGAATTTCTTCCAGAGACAAAGTGACCCAGACTGATAATCTGTGCATTCCTACAGTGGCAGGAAAATGCATACATATGGCCCAGCAATAATTCCCTCTCCCAGCTTCTATTCAGACTCATAGGTGATACTGTTAAACAGGCACAAGACTTTGATCTTTCCCAGAGTCTAAAGGTTTCAAACTGTAAATCCTAAGAATGCTGCAAAAGTCATTAAATGCAATACTGAAGAGGTTCTTAAATCAAAAGATTTTGAGGTTCTGCTTTAAAGAATTCTCAAGCTGTTATCACTTGCATGTAATCCTTTTTAATTGTGCTTCCAATTGCTCATGAAAATTCAAATTAAGAACAGGTATTTTTTGCCTCACCTAGCTTTAACTGTTCCCTTAGTAATATCTATGCAAAATATTAATTACTAAATTGAATTTGCAAACATTTAAAAAAGGTTTCCTTCTCTTTTTGAAAGCATTTCATTCACAGCACAATTTCATTCATCAAAAGTATTGAAACATCTCAGGATAACTGCATATTTATTTTTTCCCTTGGCTCCCAGCTGAGACACTAAATCTTATGCTTTCTTTTCAGACTTTTTGCTGCTCTGTGGAGCAGTCAGGCTGAGAAACCTCTGCAGTCCTCTGGGGTTAAGGAAGATGGTGTGAAAAAGAAGCCACAGAAGGAACACCTGTGCAACTAGCAGGAGAAAATATTGTTTTGGGAACAGAAGAATTAATTGCTGGCTGTTGTGGCTGTGTGGAAAATTAGGTCACCCTAATTTTTCATACTATTTTAAGACCAGGTAACTAATCACAAAGCAGTAGTGTAATAAGGTCAGAGAGTTTTTATGGGGCTGTTAGACAAGTCATAGACACCTGTACAAGTGGGAGAGCTCCCAGGATGTGTGAGCTCAGCAAGGGTTTTGCTCAATATCCTACCATTTCAACACTTAATTTTGTGCTTTTTCTGATTAATCATAAAATCTCATCCAGCTGACTTCCAAAGCCAACTGCATCAGGTAGTCCTCTGTTCCTTAAAACACAGAGCCTCTCCCTGTCCCTCTCCAATGGAAATTCTCTGGGAAATGTCTGATGTGAACCATGCCAAGGTCCTACCAGGCTGAATTTCTTGCTACAATTTTAGTATTTCTCTGGATTTGACTTGTTCCTTCTAATGACAATACAAAACCTCTGCCCTGCCTTTTCTCCTTGACATGTAGAAGTTTGAACACAACTGTATCTTACTGGATTATTTTGTCCTTCTTTTTTTTTTTTTCTTCTTTATCTTTTCTTCTTTTTTTAATGCTGTTTTGACAGCCAGTCAATTTTTTTACCTCCTTTTGAAGAAGCTACTCAAAAGGGCAGGAGCACATGAGCTAACTTCAGGGATAGTAAAGGAAAGGTATTTTTAGAGTATGGGGAACACAAAAAAGAAATGGTTTATTTATTGTAAAAAGCTGGAGGTCCTTAGCTTTGAGGCAGGCTGATGGCATGTCTGCCACACTTATGACAGACACTTGAAAGTGCAGAGATGTTCTACAGCACTTCAAGGAATTTCCCACTCTGCAAATAATGCTGCAGAAGAAACATTCAAGTACAAGCAGCACATTGCAGAAAATCCAGGTGGGATGTTTAACAAACTTCCAGTTTTATGAAGTAGGGGAATTCCATTAGGAGTGTGGACTATTTGCTTTAACACAATCATTCATTGGGATAAGAGAAGTAGAACTTGCTCTGTAGGTTTGTAGTTGCTGAAATTAATAAGTGTGGCTCATCACTCTCTGCAGTACTATACCAATTTACTGTGCTCTTTTATCTCAATTACTTTCTGTGTGTGTCTTATATTTCTTTATTAAACTTCAGTAATTGTAACACTGTGGTAATAACATTGACATACTGAGTATTATATGATGGGCTATTTTACATTACTCTGACTGCCTTATTTACATTATAATTATTAGTGTCTATGTAAATGTGATTCATTGAACTAATAAAGATTTCAGACAACTGCCATAGCTCATTGATTTTTTTCTGGGCAGAAATTTACCTTGCACTCTTAGTTGGATTTTCCTTCAATTTCAAGGTTGGCATTTGGGCAATAAAGACCTTCCACTTTAGCCCCACAGAAATGATATTTAATACCTCATTTTATCTTGATTTTGTCAGACTGACAAAGCAAATGGGAAGTACCAAAGTCTTATTTCCTCAACTGATCTGTTCTTTTCTTCAGAAGTACTGCCAAAAGCACCCTTCTCACTCATCCTGAAGAACTGATGACCAAATCATGATTTTCTGAGATTAAGCAGTTAGCACTCTGAAATCTTAGTGTGGTTCATTAGCCATGCAATTCTCCCCCAGAGGAATTTGGGCAATGCCTTTTGAATGGCACAGTTGCTTCAGCCTTTCTCTATCTGCAGAGCTGAATGAGTTCATGCCTCATATGCTGTGTACCCTGTGTGTCCTACAGGGACCAAGTCTGCAGCCAGTCCTACCACAGTTTAAAAGTCAGTTAAGAATGTGGTAAATGAAGATAAAATGTAATCCAGATTGTAACCTCATGCTGCTCAGGTCTTCTTCGTTTACTGGGGTTTTAGCAAATCCTTCAAACTCCATCTAGCACACCCACAGCTTATAACTTTAAAAACTACACATAGTAGATTTCATGATAATAAGAAGATTGAGATAAATAACAACTAGCAAAGAGATAGGTAAATATGGACTGTGAAAAGTTTAATCTATTTATGGTTCTCCTCCTGTGCCCTGGTCTAAGACAACTCAGTTGCCAGCCATTTCATAGGAGACAGATTTGTCCCTGGTGGAATGCAGTTGTTTCCAGTTGCTTTTCTTTCCAAACAACTGTGATAAGAGGGATTTCACTCCATCTCTATTATTTCTCTGAGCATTTGTTGACAGTAAGCTGTGTACAGCACTGTGGGTTGGGATAATAGTAAGTTTTAATTTTTTAAGTTTTTAATATTGTGTGTTGGCCCTTTGTCCTTGGCATACATTGATTTCTTTTTCCCTGAGGTGACCTTCATATCCTGGCTGTGTTGAGCACGAAGGGTATTTATTTCAGACTCCTTCCCTGCGAGTTTAACTAATTCCTGCTGATGCTACCAGAAATTACAGAAGAACCACTGTGTCAGGAGATCCCAAATTGCAATGCCTGTGGGTCAGAGATCCCAGTGCTGCGATTCCAAGTGGCGTTAGAACCCACTTTTGAAGCTTTCAGTTTTCCAGTGTCTGACTTACATTTCAGGTATTTATTCCAGCTGCTGTTTATTCCACTCATAGCCTGGGACACCACCTGCTGGGTAACACCTCTGTGAAATGTTTATCTCACTGTAATCACTAGTGTTTGTAAGGGATAAAGGACAACGTAATTTAAATGAGGAATAGAATTTAGAACCATCAAAGGTCTGTGTTAAGTTTTTGCTTTTTTGGGGGTTTGATACTTTGTCATTAGTGGCACATATTTTCTGCTCTGTTCTTATTAAAACAATACTGTTTTATTGGTGCAGTACCCATGCAGTTACACTCCCTTATAGCTTCTTCTAACTAATCATGTGGGGAAAACCTGCAAAAAGGATCTTTGCACAGACAGTGACTAGTAAACTTTACTGTAGAAGAGATTACGCCCTGCTATAGTAATATCGAGATGCAAAGCCTTGTTATTAATGCAGACAGTTCGGAATGGAGGAGCAAACAGTAAGAAAAATGGCTTTCAAAGCAATTATTTTGCAGACCAGGGAATAACTGTGGTATACAAAGCTGATTTATCTCTGTTTCTTTTCTGTCCACAGCACATTAATGCAGTACTTTTGGTATCTTCTCAGTGGAAAGAAAAATGAACAAAATAAGAAATTACTCAGCAGCCACAGGGAACTGGTATCTAGGTCTGGAACTCTAATTATACTCTAGGCTTAAATGATTTGCATTTTTACTGTAAAGTAGATTGTGGACAAAAGGTTAAAGTCTAAATCCAAAGTAATACAGACCCTCTTTTTCAGGTTTTGATCCAAGAATCTGTGTTTGTGGCTGTGTAAGGACTGCATAGTCATTCCCAGACTACAATGGAAAGGAATGGGAAACTATATAGCTCCTGAAATGTTAGCTTCTAGATAGGAAAATGCCACAGATCTTCAGTTAAATCAAAGAGGAGAAACATAATTTGACCCCTTTTTGTAGTGCTCCAAAGGGATATGAGGTATAACTGTAAAGATATTATGAACAGAAGACTCTCAAAAGGTCTGGATTGTTTGAAAGGCCAGTAACCAGGGAGCTGGTAAAATCCACCACAGGATATTAATCAGATTTCCAATGCTCTTTGCTACCATCTGGCCAGAAAACAGGCAAGATTCTGATAGAAATGCTATCTATTCCTGGGCCTGCTGGTCCTTGAAAAAGAAGCAGTTGATTACTCAGTAATTCAACTCCAAGTTGCTTCTGTTTCTCCCAGGTGATTCAAACAAGGTAGAATAAATCTGCCCCTCTTGCAACCAAAGAGATTTGTTGTGCACTGTAAACTGCCGTGAAGCTCTCCAGAAGAGAATGAATAAAGCAAATCTGTAGAAAAGCTAGTGCTCCCCAAGGATTTATTCTCTTCACATTTAAATATCCTCTTTTCATAGTGCTATCTAGTACCATCTGCAGCCCACCCATGAGTAAATATCAGGCTGTTGCACCAAGACCTGTCAGTTCTGGGGTCCCAAAAGCTGCTGCTGCTCTCAAGGCTTCTCCATTACCGTCCATCCTGAGCTATAAATCAAGAAAGGTGCACATCCCACTTCTTCACAAGCTCAGATAAGGAAATCAATTTTACTTCATGAAAGACAAAACTACTGCTCTGGAAGATTAATGAATAATTCCAATCACTTTATAGCAAAAGAGTCTCAATGATTGATCCCAAACCAGACAAAAGCCTTGTCCTGCATCACAAAGCTGGGATTCTGTACAAAGGGAAAAAGAGAAGGATATGTAGTTTGTGCATGTCACTAAAGTGCTACACATCCAATATAAGTAGCAGTTTACGAAGGAAAGTTCCAGAAATAGAAACAACCAGTCCCTGGTGAACTGAAGGATAAAAGCTGGAATGCTTATCCAGTGCAAGGATCTTATTTGCTTTGCTTCCATAGTCTTTCACAAGCACTAAACCAAGCCCTAAACAAACATTTACCACATTTGAACAAGATACTTAAGTAGATTCTCTGATTATATCTGACAATTATTTTTATCTAGACTATTTTTCTGTGAAGATAAACTGCAATTACCTGCAAAATTTAAAATACATTGACAATGTAATTATACTGCAGGTATTGCTGCAGTGTTGATATTGTCCTTCTGAACAAAGTGATCTTTCAGAACTGTTCATCTGAATGTCTCTTTTAAATAAAATAATTAAAGAAATGGATGCAAAACAATAATTTAAATAAACATTTTACCGGAATGCCATTGGGTCGTCACCTTCATGTTTAAAAATATGCATTAAAGCCAGACATCAGAGTAATGCAATTAAGATATGGCTTGCAAATGGAGCATCTATAAGTCATATTTCAGAAAAAAACACCTAAATAAGCACCTCTAATTTGCACTAGAAGTAAACCTTAGCTGTTGTTTACCTATGCTAATTTGGTTTGTTGGTATTTACTTAAGTCTGAAGTGTTCAGATCCAAATCCTAACTTCTCCACAACTGAGAGTATTGCTTTGTTCTCGTGCTTTTCATGTATTTGCCACATCAGACAGCTTTCCTTTGAAGTTTCCTCCTGCTAAACTCATCCTGTGAAGAGAGTTTCGCCCTCTATCACCCTGTGAATCTCATAGGCAAAATTTTTACCATCATCTTGAAATGCCAGCAAATATTTAAGGCATGGAAGAAAATATTTGTGTAAGGGAATGTGCTGGAGAACTCCTTTCTCATGTTAAAAAGACGCTATGGTTTATTATAGATGTACCATACCTTTAAGTCATAACTGGTAACAAACTTTTGTTTTTGTTCTCGTGAAAAATAGGTTGATTCTGTTAATTCTGTGTATTACTTTATCATGGGCCTGTTCTCTTGTAAGTGCTGAAAAGGTTGTGTGGACTATTTCCTGGAACCACATGGGTGCTATGACTCCTCACTTTCCCTGTTTTTCCTTTCAGAGGGGAAGAGCATACTGTGAGTTATGGGACAGGTGTGAGAGAGCATGTGTCCAAATGCTGTGGCTTAGAGCACAAGTGACCACATGGATCTGATCAGATTTAGGTGGTTTAAAGACCATTCATCACTTAGAGCCTTGCTCTGATGCTGCTGCAGCTTAAATAAATGGGAGGATGGCAGGAGAAGAGAGGAGAATAAAGGCACTGTGGTTGATCTGAGTCAATGTCTAAGGGTAAACAAAATTCTTGTGCCTGGGAGGACACCTTAGCCACATTTTGCCTGGAGCATGCCAGGCAGCTGAGGAACAAGATAGAATCTAAAAAGCCACACCAGGCTTCCTGGAGGTGTCCAGCGTGCTTGGGGTTCCATTTACCACACACTGTATTTAGCTTTGATGGCTTTAAATAACAACCTGTTTGAAATCTCAGTGGGCTGTAGGGTTTCAAAACCAAAATGCCAGAGGAAAGAGAAAAACTGGGAGGGTTCTCCTTCTACTCCTGTGCTTGTTGCTGTGTCTGAGCAATTTTAGGTGTCAGCTCTAAAACCTCACTGATGCTTTGCTGAAGGATTGTTTACTTGTTGAAGGATTGCTTGTTAAATATAATCACTGATAAATATCAAGAAACATTTTCATTAATTTAATGAGAAAACACCATTACACGTTTCAATATTTTAGAAACTGGGCTTTCCATATGGAATGCCTAGCTGTGTATGAAAAGTTACAAGGATAAGAATTGATTTGGAAGCTGAACCAGTATGTGTGAGAAGTGAATTGATGATGGGCTTCTAGTGTGTCACCTCACATGAAACATCTGGGGTTTGCAATCCTCCTGTTGGCACACAGTTA